CCCCYSTAATATACTTACATGCCACTAAGGGTACACGCACCCCTGGTAGGGAATCACTGTCTTAAATTATCAAAAATGACAATATCAATGTATCTTTTCCCATTATGATCTAAAACACACAGGACAACATTGAAACACCCCAACAGTCAGAGAAATGTTTTATTTCTGCATTTAATAGCAGTATTTCAGTCAGGAAGGTGCCAATAGATGGTTCTCACCTGGACTCAGGTATGTGGCCAAGTTTGTAGGTTCTGCTGCTTGAAGAGAGAAATATYTCCTTATGTGGGTTTGCTTTCTTAATAGACAACAGTCTTAAAAACTCAGGCTGACGTCTTTGTCAGCGGACAAATATGTTTCCATTCGGTGATCTAATTCATTACTTATTAGTGGAAAGGAAACAGAAGTGGTTTTATTTGGTTACTGGGTGAGGCTGCACATCAGTCACCACTGAAGACGTCTTTGCTCTCTGGTCATTTTGCAGTTTCCTGCTAAAAAACAAGTTTACCATGGTTTGGTTTAGCCCCCCCTCTCGCCTAAAGCTCCACAGGTGTGTGTGTGATATGCTGTGCAGATAAGGCAATAATAAGGCATGGCTATCAGCATCATGACGGTCTTATCTGATGGGAAGCAAACAATGGTMGATCCACATGTTGGAGCAAAACTAACGAGGTTTATATGAGGACGCTGTCACTGCGCGTTTTCACCTCAAGCTGCACTAAAGATTCTTGGTAAATAAAGGCTMGACTTACATCATTCCCTTTGTTCCAAGCTGCCAAAACACATGATCACCAGGACTACAGGGACGTTAAAAATTACCCAAGAACTGCAGCCTAAAAGGCTCGCATTGTGGGTGTTTGTCCAGACAGGGTGAGCATTAATTCGGTTAAAAACTTTAGTTGTCACTCAGTAAAGCATTATATTTCCTCCTCATTCCTAAATGTCAACAAATTAGCTGAAGATGGGCCTTAATTTAATATGTTTGTGTGAAAGACCGGACTGAAAACATACAATACCTACATTTTGACTAAATCATGTGTTCCATTGTAACAACATTAAAGTTGAGATGTTTCAAATACAACAAGGCTCCAGGTAATTGTAGCTATGAAAGGCAGGCGATAATGTAATTGCTTGTGTGGGCTCGTACAACTGTCTGTTAGCAAAATATTTTATGAAGCAATGGGCAGATTTTAAAGAAACTCAGAAAATAGGAATTGATTGCACAAACGATTAACATTTGATGTCAACCCAAGATGGCTGTTGCAACTGATCAGTCTTATGGCTATGACTCAGTGAAATTTACAAATACTGATCTAAACTTTAGCATGGCAGTAGCTGAGTGTCATCTCCAACACATACTCCGAGAATGAACAGATAAGTTAAACTTTTGTTTAAAGATTTGGCAGGCAAGGTGACGGCTGATGTGTTAGTTCTTGTTAGTTTTAGTGCTTTATGACTTTTATGATCAAAAGCTTATCCTTTTTTGGATTAAGTCCTTAGAGGACAAAGTGTCTGTGTACTTTATGTGAAATCCTGCTTAATCCATCTTCATTAAAACCTTATTCAACCTGGCTTCAACTTTCTACTCTATGAAAGTCAGAGGATTCGGGTCCAGCACACAAAGAGGTGATGTCATGTCATGGGTGAAATTCCTCAGCACGTTTAGAACTCGAAAGACAAAAAAGCACAACAAAACCTCAGGCTGCACAAACATGACAGGACAAACTGGAACAGCAGTGCCTCTGCATGCAAACCACCGTGTTTGTGTGCGTTAAGGTGAGCTTATCGCTGAGGAATGTGGTGGAAAACAGACAGGAAATCTCATCAGAACTGTGAAACTGGCACAATCTAGCTGCACTCCAAGTGGCAAACCGTCGCCGATCGTGTTGGCSTCTACGTGCCGTTAGTGCAGTCTCACGTTACGGGATAAACCCCGTCTGACTTTAAACTGGTATTTGAAGCGAATTGGCTGGGTGGGGAAACCAGTCGAAGATGACTTATCGTCAGGATTTCCTGGCTTTTCAACAGAACACCAGAAGCTTAAAAATGCACATTGATTTTTATCTTTACTTCATGCTGCAGTCTTTATCTGAGCTGTGCTAATCTTTAAAGCTCTCCTCTGCCGCTTCTTTATCTGCATGCATTGCCATCTACTGCTGTACTGCTAAATAAACAAATATTATTGCTTCCTCATTTACATTTTATTTAAAGAAAAGCCATTAGAAGCGGTGTATGTTTCAGTTTGAAAGCAAAATAAGTGTGATAACTTCTGCCAGATTAAACACTGACATAGAAAAAGACTTTTGGTGTATTAAATCAAGAGTTTAAAAGGAGTTTACAACTTTGAAAAAATTGATGACTTCTTGTTGACTTTTACTAATTTTTTGTCTAATGAAATGCTTTGTCATTAAGACTTTTAGAGACGTTTACTGAAGGAATAATCTACTGACCAACAAGTTGGAAGAGTATGTTGCTTATTCAACCTGCCATTTGATAGCCAATTGACATTTGATTTATCTGTCTAAATATCTGGAAAGTCTTTGAGGTTTGCTGACGTTTCTAAACAACCCACCATCACGCTGATGGCGTTCCCGCCACCGATTCCAATCGCACCATCTTAAAAGATAAATACACAAGTGCTGAAAACCAAGCAGCACGTTCAGCTAAACATTTGCGCACCACGGCAGTCCCCACAGCGAATGATTGAATATGTGTTTTCTCTGGCTCTGTTCAGTCACATTCCAATCAGACGAATGAATCTGATTCCAACGGATCAGAGTCGTGTAGAAACACGGCACGTCTAGCTACGACGGGGCTGACGTGATGGCTTTAGCAGCTTTGTTTCGAGGTACACCCTCCTCTGCGTTTATTTCCACGCTCAGYGCCTCAGACCTCTTTCTATTAGGGTTTGGGACATTTTTCAGGGTAAGATCCGGCTCAGAGCTGCATCAGTGCGGTTCTGATAGGAAGCCCTCGTCAAGTTCAGAGCGGACGGTAAAGTTTCAAGTGAAAACATCTCAGGATTGTCTCCTGGGCTCGTTTGGCTCCACAATGTTCCATTGTGCCTCTCATAAAACTCCAACCAACTCCCTGCAAAACTCAGCATTTAATCCTTCTTCCAGATTCTAGCAGTGACATTAAAAAATCCTTAAATGAGTAGTTCTTCAGAGGGGGAAAACATATAGGACCAAGAATTTTCATGTATGGACGAATAATGAAATGAAGTTAAGATATTAACTTAGGTTCTGGAGCAGGACCACGCCTCTCACCTTCAGCTAATCAATCAGCATCTATTTAAACTCGCCTCACCTGATGTTCTGCCCTCAGCTCGCCATCTTAATACCCACCTTTCCCTTTCGCCCCACTTAGGCCCCTTTGCAAGCCCTCATCGCGCCACCTTCCTCACTCCCTTCATACCTTCTTCATCTCCGCATCTCTTTCTTTCACCTCCATCCCTACATCAGACTGCCTCCTAATCTATTCCTTTTCAGGTTCCAGCTGGAGGGTCCAAAGCAGGCTCAGGAAAAAGCTTCCTTCCTGGAGACCTGGAGTCTTTTCCTCAAGCCTCCTTCGATGTACCTCCCCAGATGCCTCATCATTCGTCCCACTACCCTTCGACCCCTTCCTTCGTCCCCACTACCCTTCGACCCCTTCCTTCGTCCCCACTACCCTTCGACCCCTTCCTTCGTCCCCACTACCCTTCGTTCCCACTACCCTTCGACCCCTTCCTTCGTCCCCCACTACCCCTCGACCCCTCCCTTCATCCCCTTCCTTTAATAAAATATTTAATCTCACACCATGGCGTGGTCCTTGCTAGTGAAAGAACAGTTTGGGCCACCAAATATAAAGCTCCAGCTCCAGTACTGGGATGTCCTGAAGCAAGGTAGGAAAATCTTGTCCAAGAGACTTCTTCAGTCTGAGGAGTTAGAGGTAAACTCAGCAACAAGTTAATGATG